ATCCCTTTAACTCTCCTCGTTATTGCAACTTTTCAAAATTTACGACTAGAAAGTCTGGTTTCCTGGACTCTGCAGGTAGTTTCCAGTTCTAATCAAGGTGACTTTGCTTGTCAGCAGTCGGATTGACGTCTGCTGAAGGGGGATCAAGAAGACTGGCAGGTTTACGGTGTAAGGATGACTTTTTCCATCTGATAAGCAAATAATTCTATCACTTTTCCTCTGATTAGGCATCACCTTGGTTTTCTCCTCAGATTTCACACCACTTGAAATTACTCTAATGGCCCGTTCTTGGGCCTCATCGCCCCCACGATGACTGTGTGACCTGATATCCGTACTACTTTTGCCTGCATGTTCAAGCAAATACTAGCTCTTGTCGTAAAGCCCTTGCTATTCCACTCCTTCTGACTTTGACATTCGCTTAAAGATAAGAGCCGCCAGCTTATCAGCTTCTGCTATTTGTCCCCGTCGTTCACAGGTACAGGCCTGCAAAAGCAGACGTTTATTCAGACAATATAGTTCATACAGGACAGGTTGGCGAAGAAGATGGGGGCAAGTAAGCCGTAACTACAAAAGCAACCCTTTTCCTCGATAAGCACCCATTTTGAGGTAAATATAGACAAAGGTTGGTAGATCGTACCAGAGAATAGTGTGGAAGCGCTTATGCATGACAAGGTCTGTTGCCGACGGCTTTGCCTACTTAATCACTGCGCAAAAGGCCTACTGACATGTTTGTGCTCAGACGATGCCATGAGGTCGTAAATGAATCTCCTCTAGGCCCAAAGGATACTCTGCACGGGAGATGTACAACTCACCATAGAATGTGTCAGAGAAACGGATACATTTAGCATTTGCCGACGTCAATAGAGTTCATACACAACTGTGTGCTCTGGGGGCATACTGTATCTTCTTTTGCAGCAGTTGAATGCTCTTTTCTCATAGCAACTCCGAGTAAGTGCATGTCGGAATATTTAATAGACTTCACAAGTTCCGCATTGCCGATAAAATCCAAGTCACCCAATGCATTTTAATAGGCAAATTACCACTTGCAAACTTTTTACTTTTCATTATCAAGACACTTCTTGTCACTTGAAGCATTTCAAGCCAATCTACTAGAGGATGCTGCGTTAGTGCCTCCATCAGAAGGCTTCTTGACAATTTGTACGAGCCTATAGGCCTCTGCAAACAAGATACATTGAAGCCATATTGTAAGAAATAATTGGGAATTTTAGAAAGTAAGGCATGCTTTAAAAAAAAGATAGGAAAGAGGCTACAATGCTTATGTGATAGCTTCCATCTACAAAGTCTTTCCTTGCAGGAGGTCCGTATTTACTGAACAAAAATGAAAGTTTTGATTCTGCCTGGAAGTCAATTCTTTTCACGTTCAACCTGTATTAACAAGAGCAATTGTGATGTATTTGAGAAATATCTCAGGATGTGATGAAGTGTGATCATCAAAGTCGCTACTGAAATGTGATTAGTTAACAGTGGTGGAGTAAAGAAAGCAATGAAGTGACAACTCTTAAGGGTTGTGCTGAGCTCCTTGATCAAGAGTACATTGCTGCTCCAGCTTGCAGATCGTTTGTCAACTATTACCAGACAACCAATGCAATTCCAAGTACTTAAATATCGTATGTTAAGGGATTTGATAAAATTCTAAACGGGGGTTTTGAAATTTCATCTTTAAGAATTTAAATACCCACATTTCTGACATTTAAGTTTAGTTAACTACATCCGCAAAGTTTGGTCTTAACCATTTATAACCTGGAAATGCCAACAAACCGAATATTCTGAGAAATGTTTTGAAGACAATTATGTGTTTGCATTGACAAATGATGAAAGATTTGTCATGCAAATCACATATTTCCAAGTAACTTTTAAATACCTATTCATCCGCAATCATAAGTCTTGTCCTCCAACTATACCGACCTTCATGTTTCTCAATAAAAAGTTTGCTTCACTGAAATTCTAACGCATTATCGCTTTTAAACTCCTGGCTTATCTGAAAGTCGCAACATTTTGTTGGAAGTCCAGACCCGCTAAGTCGTCGAAGGAGCAGGAAGTTCTGAAGAATGAGGTTGTCAGAAGGAAATGCGTAGAAAGCCTTTGCATGCGAATAACTATCATTTAGCTTTGTTGCAAGGCTTTAACCGTCGAGCTGTTCCACAGTGTTGATCTTGTCATGGACTCTTTAGATTCGGGATTAGAAATCTGGCAGTGTGTGTGAAGCCGCATTGGTACCAGTTCGCCACAGAGGCAGAGGTCAAGGGTTGATGTGAGATTTATGGCAGACAGGCCAAGTTTCGGCAAATTCACATTTGGCAGTGAGAGCTATCTTGACAAAGCAAACTCATATTTACCCTTAAACTCTACTACGCTACTTTATACGTAATGAGTATGCCTCAAAACAATCGTAGGATATCAAATAGGAAGAAGAGCCACTATTGATTATGCATGGGGATGGAAGACCTAAAAGTGGAATTGCCTATACCAAAAGAGGAGGAAGGTTTTGTACTGGTCTCTGAGGACGGATGAAAATTATGCTGAATCAAGCGTCAGCCAGTGATCCGATGCAGGAATAGCATGAAAGGTGGTTAATTCACTTAGACCATTCTCTCCAGACCTAATTGGAATCAAATTAGGAACAAAATACGATTATATTTTAGCTCACCCAACCGTTTATTTGGCTAGTCAACCTTGAAATTAAAGCCCAACTTGAGCTTTGTCCATTTATTTGTCTTTTCACCTTTCCTCTAACGAATTGCCAGGGCCTCTGGAGGCAAGATTTGATCTATTTGACAAGCTGGCCAAGCGGCTATCCCCAATTGTTGAGCCTACTTCCACTTCGAGTGGAAGTGTTGGGTGAAGAGATTCGAAGGTCGGTTCCACCAGAAGACGACGGCAGATTCCTCTTGACCAGCTGTCAATTGCTTAACTGGAGCATTCATGGTGACGCTGTTTCCAAGGTAGTCTCCTTAGATTCCGGTGAAAATGTGCTAAGCTTTCGTCCGCCATATGAAGGACATCATCAGAGCAAGGTAACATCGTCACAACAAAATTCAAGCTAACCAGTCAAGAAAACTCACCGGCAAATGCCTAAAAAGTGGTATATATATACTCTAGATCTGGCCTCTTTGATCAGGTATAAAGTGATTTGGCTAGTTAAGGTCATATGTCAACTTCGAGTTTTCTTGACTCGTTAGCTTGAATTTTGTTGTGACGATGTTACCTCGCTCTGATGATGTCCTTCATATGACGGACGAAAGCTTAGCATCTTTTCACCGGAATCGAAGGAGATTGCCTTGGAAACAGCGTCAGCATGAATCTTCCAGCAAAGCCAATCAACAGCTGGTCAAGAGGAATCCACCGTCGTCTTCTGGTGGAACCAACATTCGAATCTCTTCGCCCAGCACTTTCACTCGAAATGGAAGTAAGCTCAACAATTATGAAACAAGAGATTCCTCGGAGCCCAACTTTTCTTCGGCTATCCCTAAGCCAAATCCCAACTGAAAGCTCGAAAA